GAACTTTATTAAATGATTTTTCACCGGGCACGACAATTCAGGGACAAACGACGGTATAAAAAATAATGAAAAATYACTAAAATCCTTATTCTACCATCGCTCGAGCTCGATGTCAAGATTAGCCATGGAGTTTATTTTTAAAAGACACAAACATTGGAACAGTCTGGGTACTTTATCCAGAGGCTACAGAATACAAGATCTGGTATAGCTTTTCGCTTAGGTCATATCATGACAAGACTAGRTGCTTTATCATGAGAAGACATGGAAATCAAGAAAATGCTAGGAATGCACTTTCAAAGGGGTTCCTTTCGTGTGATGGTATCATAAAGAAGAAGGTACCAAAACAGAGCTGTCGATAGGGAAGCACATAAAATTGGACCATAGCAATTGAAAGCGTTCTATCAAGATGGCACGTTATTACAAAGGCCTTAATTTTAAAGGACAGCTGGGTACCAAATTACAGATGGACAAAAAGCTGCAAAGAGGGASCAAGAAATGCTACGTTAGCTAAAGGGGATCCTAGTACTTCATTACTTTTGTACCTTTCAATTAAGGTACCTTATCATTTGTACATGTACCCGATAGATGAGGTACCATAAACGAGGCTGTAAATTTCGCTCCTTTGGATCCAACTTGGTTGGCAAGTAATGAAAATATGGATGGATTTTAGAGACTAAACTGGAATATTGGAAATAATGTCAACGTATCTTTGGAATAAATGAATTAAAACTTGGAAACTGGAGCTCAAGAATCTCAGAAGAAAAAATTATTGCCAAGTTCAATTGAGCTTCGAATATTGGAGATTTTTTAAACTTTTCATTAACGATTCTCAACATTTACTAGATGTAAATTGTTGCTCGAGTCATGTAGGTCTAAGGATCTGTAAAGATTTGGAATATTTTGAATTGTATATTTTGTGATCACAAAAACAAATAAACCATCAGAGATGCAGTTTTTAACAGCATCTTCCCCTTTTGTCACGTTTGTCACGCAAGCTTTAGTGGATATAATCTTTGTGACGGTTACATAAACTTCAGAAATTATAGAGGTTATTTTGAGTTTTTGGCTCGTCAGTGCGTATGCTCACTATTTTTCCTRTGATGCGCATGCCAGGTTTTGAACCAAT